TTTTTTTTTTTTTTTTTTTTTTTTTTTTTTTTTTTTTTTTTTTTTTTTTTTTTTTTTTTTTTTTTTTTTTTTTTTTTTACTAATGCTTGTTCGTGGATGAGTTCCTGTTCCGAAGGAGTTCTGATCTATGTTTGCATCGTCTTCTTCCTTGATCGTTTGAAAACTAGTTTGTACGGTAGCGGTCTAAGCGAGAATAAGCATGCTATCTTCATTTCGATGACTTCTGAAACGTTTTCTTGCTTTGCATGACCAATCATTTCATTATTTATTTATTTTTCCTCAAGTAATTGGATTTTTACGTATTTTGACATTTTATTTGTGAATTTATTCACTTGACTTGAATCAGTTTTTCTTAATGTTGTTTCAGATCAAGGATGGCGTCCATGGGAGCCGTGACTGTTTCCAACTCTGTGTCGAGGAGTTCTCTCATCCTAAGTCATGGGCATTCGGTTTCAGAGACCAAAAAGAGCCTATCGCTGGTTGGCCTGAAGAACCAAGTAGAAACTCACAAGGGATTGAAATCGTTGAACAATTTGGATATGCTGCGGAAGAAAACCCCTTCGAGTGCTATTTGCAGGACTGCCAGTAGGAAAACTGATGGAAATTGTAGAACTGCTGGGAAAATTGTGTGTGAACAAGGGATGAACATAGTGCTTGTGGCTGCTGAAGTTACTCCATGGAGCAAAACTGGTGGGCTTGGTGATGTTCTTGGAGGATTGCCTCCAGCATTGGCTGTACGTGAAGGTTTTCGATTCATTTTCAGATGTAATTTTGTCTTAACTTTCTGCTACGGCCTGAATTATTGTCTACTTTTATCGTTTAGGCTAGAGGACATCGTGTCATGACAATAGCTCCTCGCTATGATCAGTATAAAGATGCTTGGGACACTAACGTAACAGTTGAGGTAAAGAAGTTTCTCATCTCTAAAAAACGAACACCTTTTGTGGGGATGGGACAAAGTAACAGTTTTGTGATATTTTTTAATGAACATGACCAGATGCAAGTTGGAGATCAAACTTTAAATGTAAGGTTTTTCCATTGCTACAAACGAGGAGTTGATCGAGTATTTGTTGATCACCCAATGTTTCTAGAAAAGGTAATGTGAATTCCGCATTGCAGTCTGTATAGATGGTTCTGCCTGTTTCTTTCTTCTGATGCTTTGTATTGAGGATCTCTGCAGGTTTGGGGCAAAACTAAATCTAAACTATATGGGCCTAAGGCAGGAGTGGATTATGAGGACAATCAGTTGCGATTTAGCCTATTGTGCCAGGTGACTAATCTTATATTCCTTTTACTTGCAGATCGTTTTTTTTTTTCAGCCTTGAGGAGCGGGATAGTAGGAATAAAAATATATACATTTTCCTTGTTTTGTCTCCATATGATTTTTCTTGTTCAAGCTATGTTTCTATTCATTGCCATCAAAGTCATATAGAGACAACCAATGGAATTATAGAATCTAGTTAGTTAACTTTCATTGAGTGCCATTTCGTAAAGTTGAAGAGTTTTCTTTTATAAATTTCATTTAGTCAATGACGTTTTTAAGTAGTTCATGCACAAAAGTACCCTATTTTCTAGGTCTTCATTTACTTCACTGAGAGACATGGTTTCTAGTGTTTGAACATCTATTATACATTTAACCATTGAATACCTGTGTTCATCAGGCTGCTCTGTTGGCGCCTTTGGTTCTAAATTTGAACAGCAGCGAGTACTTTTCAGGACCATATGGTAGGTGTATTAATTTTTCCCCAGTGATTCAAATTAATTGTTAATAGTCCAGGAATGATTCGGAAAGATAATGCGCTTTGCTAATCATTGCAGGGGAGGATGTTGTATTCGTTGCCAATGATTGGCACACAGCTCTTCTTCCATGTTACTTAAAATCCATGTATCAAGCAAGGGGAATTTATTCAAGTGCCAAGGTATGTTTGTGCCAAATTTGTATTCTCCGTTTCAGTCGACTTGTTAGCATCATTATTGACCATAAAAATTACAAGTTCTGATATCGGACTCTTAAATGCTAACAGGTCGCTTTCTGCATTCACAACATTGCTTACCAAGGCAGATTTTCTTTCTCAGACTTTTCCTTCCTGAATCTGCCTGATCAATTCAAGAGTTCCTTTGACTTTACTGATGGGTGAGTGCCATCAATTACTTTCCATTTAACCTGCATCTCAGAAAATATCATTCTTCCTATACGTCCTCCTAAGCAATATTGGTTTCTAGGTATGAAAAACCTGTGAAGGGAAGAAAAATTAATTGGATGAAGGCTGGAATATTGGAAGCTGACAGAGTGTTGACTGTTAGTCCATACTATGCTCAGGAGCTTGTTTCTGGAGTTGAGCGGGGTGTTGAATTGGATAACAGTCTTCGTTTGACCACGGTTACTGGTATATTGAATGGTATGGATGTCCAGGAGTGGAACCCTGCCACCGACAAATACATTCCTATAAAATTCAATGCTGAAGCTGTAAGTTAAACTGATAGGGTTCATATTTTTCTTTTATATTGATTGAAAAAATTCTTAACCAGACTTCATTTTCAGGTTACGGAAGCAAAAGCTCTTTTGAAAGAAGCTCTTCAAGCAGAAGTTGGATTGCCGGTTGACAGGAACATCCCTTTGATAGGATTTATTGGTAGACTTGAGGAGCAAAAGGGATCCGATATCCTATCAGCAGCTATTCCAACGTTCATTGATGAAAATGTTCAATTGGTCGTCCTTGTACGTATATATGTACCTTATTTATTTTGCCAAATTACTGTTGTATTTGGATAAAAGTTGATTTCCATGTTCTTTCTGCTAGGGAACTGGCAAGAAGTACTTGGAGAAACAGCTTGAAGAGCTAGAGATAAAATATCCTGACAAAGCTAGAGGGGTGGCAAAATTCAACGTTCCTTTAGCGCATCTCATAAATGCTGCAGCTGATTTCTTGATCATTCCTAGTAGATTTGAACCTTGTGGTCTCATCCAGTTGCAAGCTATGCCTTATGGAACAGTAAGTCGCCAAGAATCTCCTATACATACAGTTATCTTCCAAACTATTTTACAGTTTACAGATTTGGAACTTTCTGATAGTTATCCAACTTTTGTTGGCACATCTATCACCGTAGCTTGAAAATGTTAATACGTTACAATTACAGATTCCATTGGTAAGCACAACTGGTGGACTTGCCGACACTGTTATTGACGGTTATACAGGGCTCCAAATGGGTGCTTTCAGTGTTGAAGTAAGTATTGAGTTTCAAATCCCCGTCATATGCTTCCTTTTTGTTCTTCGTTTTCTCTTGGATTTCATGTTGCATATTGTGATTGGAACCTGATGGTGGTTTTCCAGTGTGAAACGGTTGATCCAGCTGATGCAGCTGCAATTGCTAAAACTGTACTAAGAGCCCTTGCACTCTACGGCAGTGCTGCCCTTGAAGAAATGAGACAGAACTGTATGGCTCAAGATTTCTCTTGGAAGGTAAGTTCATCACAAATAAATAGCCTTTCTCATCACCAGATCATGTTATTTGAAACAATTTCGCTGTATTGGGTAATTTATGCAGGGGCCAGCCAAGCTATGGGAAAAATTGCTGTTGAGCTTGGGAGTTGATAACAGTCAACCTGGAATTGAAGGGGAGGAAATCGCTCCTCTTGCCATGGAAAACGTTGCCACTCCTTGAGGAAACTGGCGAAAGTGATGGATATATGTCTGCATAGTTTTTTAGTTTCTCTTAGTATAGGCTAATAATTGGTAATGATCGTGGAGGATATGAAGAGAGGGAAGTGGTAAAGCAGTGAGATTTGATCCTTCAGAGCATATCCGCAGGTGCCAACAGCAGGCAGGTGAAATGGTTCTCTCCTCCAATTGATGGCCGCTCCTCGGGACATGACGGTTGACAGGTAGAAACCCTGTATTTATTGTATTCCGCCAAGGAATAAGAATTGGAAAATAAACTACGCCTGCAAATTTTGTTTTTAGCTTTTGATCTTTTGTTATTATGGAGTATGTATGTGATATAGTATAATGCATCTCCTAGTTTTTTCCTTGCCACTTGTTAATTTAGTTCTTTCGTCTTAAAAAGGCCAGCATCGAAAATTGCTTGCAGATAGAATGATGTTTATCATACAGATAGTTGTTTGTTCAATGTTCATTGATTTCAAAACAGGCCATTAGGTTATACGGGAGTTGAACCCTTTTGTGACTGATTCCCAAAAGATAAATGTGATGATATACAAGGCATGGACACATGATAAATGTGAGGTGAAGGTGAGGGGAGAGGGGAGGGAATGGACAACTTCATGACTTGTAATTGACATCTTGATATACTTTTATTGATTTTATGTTTAATACGTTTATTTTACCTATTGAATAGGTTAGTTAAGAGATAGAGATGAACAAGTTAATACAAAATATTTTAATAAATGAATTAATTGTTAAATTGGATACATATTGAAGTTGCATTAGTTAATGAGATTCAAACATTTTGAATTTCCTAAATTAGAAGCATGACGTTGGATTAATCATATTTTAATAAATGATTATTTTAGGTGTTAGTTGATGAAAATTAATACATAAAACTCATAAAAACGAATTATACTAAATTGTGAGGTTTATTACAAAATGTTTAAACGAAAAGGTAACACTTTTTGTTTTTTTCCTTTTTCCCCTTTTTTGTTTTTTTTAATCAATGTTCTACAAATGACAACAACCCGCACGGCTCTTCACCTTGCTTCCGCCGCACACTCAACTCTCTGTCCACTCTCCTACCAGACGACGGCGTTTCTGTTCTGCATTCAGATCGCTCCTCATTCTCACTCTTCAGTGCAGTGCAGTGACTGGCATTTTCGGACTTTGAATTCCACTTTTAGGCTACTGAAGTTTCAAGCTCCATGGAGCTGAGAAGGTTCGGATTCGAGCAATGCGGTTCCGTTCTACTTCTGGTTTCAGGTGATCTGGAATTTCATGACCTTGTGCTTTTTTTTTGTTAGTTTAAGATGTGGATTATTGTGAAATTGTGGAGTGTTGTTCAGTTGAGAGTATCTTGAACTTGTTGTTTTGTGAAGGTTTGTTGTTACTACCTGTTATGGTGAGTTCAATTGGAGTGAACTACGGTCAGATTGCGAACAATCTTCCTGCTCCGGAGAATGTAATTCCGTTGGTGAAAGCGATTGGAGCTACGAAGGTGAAGCTGTACGATGCGAGTCCGAAGGTTCTTCGCGCATTTTCTAATACGAGCGTGGAGTTCATAGTCGGACTTGGAAATGAGTACTTGGCCAAAATGAAGAATCCAGCTTGTGCTCAAGAGTGGGTGAAGAATAATGTTCAAGCGTACTTGCCTGGCACTAAAATCACTTCAATCTTCGTCGGTAATGAGGTATTAACCTTCAATGACACTTCACTCAGTGCTAATTTACTACCGGCGATGCAGAGCGTGCACACGGCGCTCGTGAATCTCGGGCTAGATAAGCAGGTGGCCGTCACAACGGCGCATTCTTTGGCTGTACTTGAAACTTCGTATCCGCCTTCCGCCGGAGTCTTCCGTAGGGATTTAGTTGATTGTTTGGTCCCAATCTTGGACTTCCATGTCAAGATCGGCTCCCCGTTCTTGATCAATGCGTATCCTTACTTCGCTTACAAGGCGAATCCGAAGCAGGTTTCGCTTGATTTCGTCCTCTTCCAACCGAACCAAGGGATTTTAGATCCTGGCTCGAATCTTCACTACGAAAACATGCTGTTCGCACAGATCGACGCGGTTTACTATGCGCTCGCCGCTGTTGGTTACAAGAAGCTTCCTGTTCACATCTCGGAGACCGGATGGCCGTCGAAGGGAGACGAAGATGAGGCCGGTGCGACTCCGGAGAATGCAAAGAAGTACAATGGGAACCTACTCAAGTTCATCTGTCAGAAGAAGGGGACGCCATTGAGGCCGAGCTCGGACCTCAATATTTATGTTTTTGCTTTGTTTAATGAGAATATGAAGCCTGGACCAACTTCGGAGAGGAATTATGGACTTTTTAAGCCTGATGGTACGCCGGTGTATCAGCTTGGATTTTCCATTAACGACGCCGTGGGAAACGGGACTCACGGCACTTCCGGAACTTCCGACGTGCAACCTACGCCACCGGGATTTCCCACTACCTCCAATGGTTATTTGTCCATTTCTTCCGCCAAGGTAAATTTTTACCATTACCTTCATTGTTTTCTGAATGATTATTATTATCTTTTTTGCTTGATTTGCGTTGGGTTCATAAAGTGACAAAGTTAGAAACAAGCATAGGGTTAAGCTAGGGCTTTCTTTATTTATACCCATAATCTTTCCTTCACTGATGGGACTCCAACCGAACCAACCCAGGGCAAACATCAACTAGAAAAGAGGGAATCGAGCAAGAGGGAGATTTGAGCGTGAGGGACTGTTGTTGAGCAAGAGATAGTGAGAGAGATCAGAGGTGTGAGGGAGGGAGAGGCAAGAATTTGAGAGAAAGAAGGCTATTGGGAGACGATTGAAACACGTAGAAGAAGAAAGTGAGCTGAGGGTAAACTAAAAACATTAGCCCCAAGCCCAATTTTTCTCTCAATTTTAGTTTAACAAGTCCACGAGCCTGATAATTTTAAATCAACGAACCTGTCTACACTCTGTGCTGTTTGCATAATTGCTCTATTAGGTGACCTCATTCATGACTTAGACCGGCCTTAAAGCCCAATAACTTACGTTCCCTTAACTCGTCCTAGTAAATAGGGTTTTGGCACCCTTTTCCCTGAAGTGCTTTGTGGATGGGACGTTGCAAATGAATGTTATTTGAAGTTTGTTACATTCCAAAACTGAGTCTAATAGGTATTTGAACTTTCAATTTTAGATCCTTAAAAAAAAATTTAATTTTAATTTTATATCTAGATCTATAAATTTTTTTGTAGTTCCTAAATTATATAGAGATAAACTGGAGGATCTAATATTTAATAGGAAATATTTCATAATGGGAGTATGAATTGTAAAGAGTTGAGTGGGGGCCATATTTGTGATTGATCATTGGTGGGAGCACATGGATGCATCAGCCAAATTGCAACTCATTGGATTCTTCATCAGTTAACTTTAAGGCCATTCCAAAATTTAAAGTTGCAGCCATATGCCTATCCCCATTCCCTTTGACGTGGTCCTGAAACACAGTTCGTCTTTGTGCTTATTTTTTTTACCTTGGCAGCACAAGATAAATGTGTAATATTCTCTACTTTTTTTTAGCTCCTTTTTGTTAAGAACATTCCAATTTCTTTTGGAAGCTCAAGCTTTCAAGTCAAGTTGGTAATGAAATGACCTCAAGCTCAAAACTTTTCTTGCAAGATTCCTCTATGCAATGCACTGCCACTGTGGAAAACCAAATTAAGTGATTAGATAAATTTGATTAACTTGCTGGTACATAAAATCATTAATTTCGCTGTTTGCTCGACTGTTACTGGAGACTGATAAACAGTGGTGATGTTTTGGTGGCAGGAGAGAAGCCATTGTCTCGGATTCTTCTTAGTGTGCCTGTATCTGATGCTGTTCAAGTTGCTACTTTGAATTTAGGAGATTATTTGTATTTTCAGTGTATGTTTCCTAAAGATGCTTTGGATTTATTTCATTTATCAGAATCAGAATCGGAAGATGCTAAAGAGAATAAGAGGCAGAGTCGGATTTTGGAAAAGGTAAATATTCTGTTTCTTTCCTTGTATGTCTCTGCCTTTCGTTTTGCTTTTCTTTTGTATGTGACCATTACATATGTTATTGGCTTCTGCTTTACTGCAAAAAAGGTGGAAATTATGAATGGAAGCCTTTTTTCTTATAATTTATAAAACAGATAACTAAGAAGTGAGACAAATACTCAATCTTGTTCAATTTTTAAGTGAACATTGCCCCTATAGGCTGTTTAGGACATATCCTCTTTGGCAATAATCATGAAAAATCTGGAATAAGGACAGAAAAAAAAAAAAAAAAAAAAAAAA